ACTACTGTTTTTTCTTTTTAGTACATTTTAAACACTAAACATTATTTATGAGAATGGGAGTTTATAAGGAAAATTGGAGAAACAATGTTGTTTGGGGAGATAGAGGGAGACTGAAGGAAGGAATAGGAAGTGTGCACATGAGGGTCTGCAGTGATGGAGCAGATGGAATGCATCACTCTTAGCTATGACAGAAATGATTTATTGAATGACCTGGTTGTTCTTGCCTAGTAACAACACAGGATGACAGAGCTGAGTTTCCATGACAACCAAAGCCCACCCACTAGCTAGATTAAACATTTCTTCCTGGCTTCCACTCAGAGTGAATTTGGATTTTTCTCTCCAAATGCCATCCTGGTCTGGCTAATATGCTGTTCATAATATGGAAGGAAAATCAAGGATGTCAGGGTAACTAAAGTAAGCTTGAAGGACCTCTGAGAATATCACAAAGTCTTGTCTGCCCATACAATGATTTCCTCACTTACACTTTCCTTGAAAAAACAAAACAAAAACCTGTGAGAAAAAAAATGACTCCTGAATGGAGGTTTTATTTTGAAATTTTGCTTAATATTAAGAGTCAAATGTTACTTGTCTTCTTATATGTGAATGACCTATCTGTTACTGATTCTTCCAACAATGAGGAGGAACATAGCATGCCAATCATTGCCAAGACCAATTTTCTCCCTATACACCAAGTTTTTTCTTCAGGGAATAAATTCAGAAAAAAGTAGGGACAACTTTCTTTAACCATCCTAATACCTACCTCTAAGATAGTCCTTGCAACACAGCTTTTTTGATACCCAAAGCAGCAGAGAGGAACAGTTTGAGGCTAGTTAGGTGGGGGTTCTATTGTATATGAGCTCTACCCTTACTAGCTAGTGGTCTCTAGAACAAACTACTTAATCTTTTGAGTCCAAGTCACTTAACCTTTAAACCTCAGTTCCCCAACCTGTAATGTGAGGGTAATAATGCCAACCTTAAAGCGTTTTCTTGAGGATTAAATGAAATAGGGCATGGAAATGCTTAGTGTAGTGCCAAGCACTCAGCCCACGGTTGATCATTTCTGTGGGTTTGTACCACCACCATTATTACGTATGTTCCAAGATTAAATCCAGCAAACATTTACTGGGCTCCACTATGTGCAGGGTTCCAGTATATGGTAGATAAGTTAGACTTGGCTTCATTTCTCAAAAAACTCATACTTACAGCTATAGAGAAAGGTTTATTTACTCAAACAATACATAAAGAAGTTTCTTTCTTCAGGAGCTCAACAGCTGCTCACGTATCAGAGTTCTACTTTCCCTATCAACAGCAAATGTTTGAGAAAGTTAAGTGTATTTCAGACAAAATATAAGACAACTCTGGAATTCTAACAAGCTGACTGCTCAAACTAAAGGAGGAGAAAAAAAATTACAAGTCTAAGGAGAAACTTCACAAGGCAGAAGGCATAATTTGAATTTGAATAATTAGAGTTGAGTCTTTACAGATAATTAATAAATACCCATCTCTCCTTTCTAGCTTTAGGCTTCCAAACTAATTTTAACAATGTACAAGCCAGATATATTAAACGGTTATCATTGCCTCTATCATTTTGATGTGACAAACACTAGCTATATCATATTATAAAATGTCTTTGAATCAGTTTCATTTATTTCAGAACTAGTCTTTCAATGATTCTGAGCCTTATCCCTTTGGAGCCTGTCCTGGAACTTACTGTGTAGACCAGGTTGGCCAAGAACTCAGAGAACTGCCTGTCTCTGCTTCCCGAGTGCTGGGGTTAAAGGCTTGTGCCACCACTACCCAGCTGATTGTTTTTTCCTAATACATAAATAAAAGTCTATTCCATCTTGTGAAAACCCTTATAAAGGTACTTCCTTCATATTAGATGAACTGGATTTTCTTTCTTGACTCCTCTTGATTATTTAAATGGGTCACTTGAGTGTTTAAAACACATATATTTCCCCAAATTCCTCTTTGTTTTATCTATATCTGTTCCACTCAAATAAAGACATACTTAAATGAAACCACAAATACAGTTCTTGTAGGTATGGAGCAGGGAGGTGTTATCATGAACTACTTTAATGGTATGTAACAATATAAACAGAAAACAGCTCTTAAATGAGTAATTATGTTAACAATGTAACTATGCCATTTACTGTTCACAAAATATAAACCCTAGTTCATCAGTAGAATGTGTCCCCAATACTTACAGATGCCAAAGCCTTTCCAAGTGCATCACCCGTCTGTGAGCTTCCAGCAGCATTCCCTCTGGCTCCTGGATGGTTCAAACAGGTAAACAAAACAAGACTAGCAGGAATGCTACTTTTTTTTTTCTTAATCATGTACCTATTACTTCAAGGGTACCCTGGATTGAGACCTCATCTATCATTTTGAATCAGGAAACAATCTATGTGCAATTTAATAAGCTATAAAATAAAGATGAGTTATGTATTGGTTTTGTATTAATGAAACTTAAAGGTTAATTATCTTCTTTCATTTTTATTTAAACTAAATACTACAAACTTTATTGAACAATATGGGTTTCAACAAAACTCTCAAATTAGGATTAGAAAGTTTCTCAACCCAGAAGCTCACCTAGAATGCTATCTGATCCATTGATGGGAGGAGTATGGGAGGCGGCAACATACGGTGAGCTGCTGGTGCTGCCACGGTGGAAGCTGGACATTGGTGGAAGACTCGTGCTTATGTCTGTAGGTGACACTGAGTGTGGAGGATAACTCTAGAAGGGAAGGAGACACGACCTATTATGTTTTCTGAGGGCTGGGGACATTGCTTGGGGGCAGAGCACTTACCTCCCACACTTGAAGTTTCAGTCCTTAGTTATGTGCTGCTCTCTCTTCTTTCTCCAACCCCACCCCTCCCACCCTCTTCTCTCTCACACACAGATAATAAATAAAAAATTAAAGCATGTATTTTCTGAATATGAATGTAGACTTATCCTGGACAATCTGTATAAAAAAAGGTTAAAATGAGCATGACATATAACAAGTTTGGCAGGGCAGTCACACTGAAAAAAGTCATGGTAAAGTAAGCCTGTAAACACTTCAAAGTTCAGAAGTTTTGGCATAATTGATTTTTATACAAAAAGAAAGATGTAGGACAAAATATTGTTTGATAGCCTACCAAGCGGTCATGTGAATGAAGGCTGCCATAACTACTTGACTGAGACATGTGGGAAGTTGAGGTCCCCAGAATTCCACTAAAACCAGGCTGGTTCATCCCATTTGATGAACTCCAAAGGTCAGAAGAACTGTGAGTCCCATCTAAAAGAAAAATAAATACAAAGTTTTCGTTAGCCAGAATTTTTTGAGTATATCTAAAACTATCCAAAGGATATAATGATGATTGATTTCAACTGTTCAGTTCAGTTGCAGATGATCTAGAATCATCCAGGAAAAGTAATTCAGTGAGGGACTGCCTAGATCAGAAGACTGAGGGCACATCTGTGAAGAGTTTTCTTAACCAGGTTAATGGAACGTGAAAGGTACCATTTTGTTGTCTGTGTCCTGAACTATTTAATCGTAAAAAAAAAAAGTGAGCTGACCAAGTGAGTGCACATGTATTCACTTCTTTCTGCTCTTACTCTGATGTGTTTAGCTGTGTAAATTCCCACTCCAGTAACTCACCTGCTGTGATGGATTGTCACCCTTCTCCAAGTTGCTTTTGTCAGGGTACTTTATCACAGCATCAGAAACAAACGTAATATTCTATCAGGGTTTCTTCCCCCCAGGCCCAAAATTATTATATAAAAAGAAGTAACTTTTATAGTTAAAAAAAAACACCCAGCACATATTATGTAATAGGTGGATTATTTTAATGATCTTCAAAAAATATTCATTTCATACCAAGAAATCTGGTATTTGAAATCTGGGGGCAAATTAGATTTAATTTTCGGCTAAATGTTCTACTAAAGGCCTTAACCCAAAATAGGCAACACACATATATCAGATATTCTGAAAAGAAGGAATGGAGAAATTTCTTTCACAGTAAGTCAAGGTAAAAAGTGACATTATATAGTGAGGCTTAAAATTAGATGTCAGCAGTGACTTTATCTATGGCACAGTCAAGGAACCATTTATGTAATGATGTACAGCTCCTACATACACACTTATCACAATACCAAACCACAGGGAACCAAATAAAAATGATTTGTCAGATACAAATTAGAAGAAATGCTACACATCTTCTCTCTAACACGTCTCATTTAGTTTTTTGTATTTACTCTTTATGGAACTATAATCCAAACCGTAAACCACTACTGTTTCTTTCTATCTTTCATATTTCAACATTCTACAACAAACCATGGCAGCTTTGCTCATTTTTCTGTTTATAGTAGATGATAATTTTAAAGGTTTGTTGGATAATTTAATGAAACTACAATTTGTAACAAATGCCCCTAGAATATTGTATGGCTAAATTTTAACTGATTTCAGAGAAAAAAATTCTTAGAAAAGTACAGTAAGAATTTCTGTACAGCTATCTTTTTTCTCGTATTTAATACCAGCACACTGCAGCTCCAGCTGACTCTCACAACTGCTGGTAGTGCTTACCTTGCATAAAGAAAGTGCTAGCAAACATACTGGTTGGTGGCTTGGGAGATGGATAACTAGGAGATTCACGGTTGAAATCATCAGAATTTGGGGATGGTGCATATACCTTAAAGCAAAACAGGAGATTTAATTAAAATGTAAATGATTATCATATTACTTACATAAAATGAGTTCTGTGTTCCACAAAGAACCTAAAAAGTCTCATGTACTAATCTTGCAAACAGAAAGATTGTTACATAGATGACATCAAATTTGGTTACTAACTACATATTTCTTTTTAGCTGGTTACTGGAAAATAAATTACTTCAAATATTCATGTATTCCATTTTGTTATGACAATTACAGCTGGTGGCTGAAAAAGGCCTAAGAGATTCAGACAGAAAAATTTAATCTTAGCAATGTGTGTTTTGAAATCTGATGGGGCAAACAAGTGTTTCTGAATCCTAAGCAGCACACAAACTTTTCACTGTCGTAAACTTTATCAGTTCAAACAAAGTGAATGATATGAAATATTTCTGGTAAGAGGCAAGCACAGCAACATGGTTCAGTAACTTCCTTAACTTAGGAAACCAAATCAAATTCTGCCGAGAGGTCTTAGTTCTTAAATTTCAGGTATACTTCCAAGTTTGGCATATCTTTAAGAAAAAGATTATTTAATTGTTAAGGCAGTAATAATTTCCTTTAGTGACCATTTGCTTCAGATAAAGAAACTATGAACATTATGAGCTATCAAATGGCCAACATACAATCCTTGGGAAAACTAAATGGGCAGCCAAAATAGTGAATGAAATTAAGACCCCAGCATTCTCAGAACTATTGAACTTTAGAAAGAATAAAACAAATAATAAGAGTTCGAGGCCAGGCTGGACCGACAGCCTCCAAAACAATACAGAGAAACCCTGTCTTGTAAAAACCGAAAAAAAAAAAAACCATACACACACACAAAACAAACAAACAAACAAACAAACAAAAACAAATAATAAGCAGAGTTATGTATGAAGCCTGCACTCCCAGTAACTCAGGAGGATGGATGGCATCAAGTTCAACATGGACCTTGGCAAGAGTGAGACTGTCTTAACACACTAACCCTATCAACAAAATGTTTTATAAGAAAAAGGGCCACCCACCTATAGATTGTAAAGTAAGCCAGGAGTAAGAAAGAAGACAAAGTGGCTAATGTCAGCAGCGTAAGAAATTAATTTTGTTTTAATTTGTTAGGAGTATATCCATTAAATTTCGCTATAAAAATTATATTTCACTTAACTAGAGAAAGCATTATCATTAAGGAAACATATACAAAAACATACACATTGTTTATATAACCATTGGGATTTTGTGGAATCATATAGAAGAAACTTAGCAACAGTTTTTCCCCATCTTAGAAGTGGGGAAAAAGGACAAAATATGGCATTTTTAAACCAAGCACAAGCTTTTAAACAGTAGTAAGGGAAGAGTTGGGGTTCAGGACACAGCTCACCGGCAGAACACACCTAGCAAACAAAGCTCTGGGGGTGGTGCTGATTCTCCCACCAAGGTAAAATGGTAGCAATTTAAAAAATTTACAAAACTATCAGTTATAAATTCACAAGCTATCAAAATTTATTCTTCCCAAAATGCACTAGCCATACAGATTTCTCAATCTTCTGGAAGTCCAAATTTCTCATTTGTAAGGTGGCTTTATCCTGTACCTCACAGGGAAGATGAGATGAGGTAATGCATCAAGTATTTAGCACAATGCTTCTGATAGTGCAGGAAGTAGCCAGTAAAAATTAGCTGATATACCATATTTCTATCATGCCAACAGAAGGAGTTACACCGTTTGGTATTACCACTGGTCAGTTTTTAATGCCATTGTCATAGGTTTTGTGAGATTCTACTCTACTCACCAAGCACAGCCTAATGTACATAAAGGTTAGAAAGTGCTTTTCATCTCTTCCTGTTAGTCCAGGTAAAATTAGCACCCTTACTATTTTTAATGGATTGGTTTTCATGTTTGTTTCCTGTCACCTCCTCAAAGTAAACACACACCTGTGGTACCTGAAATGTTTGGGAGAAGCTAGGTTCTTAGGAATTACAGAAAAAGATCCTCACAGGAAAGTGTGACACATACATGTTTTTAAATGCCTTTTCTATTTTAAACTTATTTTATAAAAGATTCCATTAGGGGGATGGAAGGGATGGCTCAGCAGTCAAAAGCACTGGCAGCTCTTGCAGAGGACCCAGGTTCTGTCCCTATAACATATAAATAATGATTTATATTAAGGGCCAACAAATGACATTCTGCCAGTCAAACTGGACTTGTTTCTGAAATTACTTTAAATGCAACACAGTCCTGCTGATGATTTCTGTAACAGCTATGGTTTCTTGTTACAATGGGGGAGTTTAGCATCATAGCAAATATGAGGTCTCAAAGCTGGGTTAAAGGGCTCAGTTCAGAAAGATAATAATTGCTTAGACCATAATATGTGAGTGCATATGCACACATACATAGACCAGCACAAGAGTAAAATTTGGTCTTCTTCTTCAGAGATATCAAAATGGTTGCAGTAAAGAGGCACAAATGACCTAAATGATAAAGAGGAAAAGTTCATTTTTATGTTTGCATAAGGAGACTATGCAATAAACATACTAATGTCCTAGAAAAAATAAAGGCAAACTAGACACCCATGTTCAATGTTCAAATCCTGACTTGTGATACTAGGTAGATGGTTTACATGCACAAACCTTCCCTCTTTTCTCCATGCATGCATTACCAACAACCCTAGAAAGAGCAAGGCTTAAACAGTTGAAGTATGGAGGATGGCTTAGTTATCGTAAAACATTCTATTTACTTTTCTCTTATATTTTTGGTTGTGAGTCACCCTTTAACGACTGAGCCATCTCTCCATCCCCAATTACTTTTCTCTTTCCTCTGTAAATCACTGTGTGTATCTTTATGTATGAAGAAATAAGATACACAGTATTCTAATTCTCTATTTCTTAGGCATAATACTTTTTGTCTTATGCAATGGCGTGAAGTTTCAAAAGACCTGGTCTGCCCTAAATTCAAGCTTCATGGGTTGTAAAATTCCCCATGGCTAAAGTAAGACTAGATGAAGAGAGAAGAGACAGAAGAGGCAAACGTCTGGAGGGAGAGGTAACGATCAAGAGTCCAAAACCAAAGAATATATTCAAGCTGTATTAGTCCCAATCAAAAACAGATAAAACAAATCATGTTATCCCATGAATCTGCCTGTACAGTGCACACACTGGAAAGTGAAATGTTAACTGATGAATCTTGGTGAAGAATACATAACATGCATTTGCCTTTTCTTTGGGTCTTAACTTTTTCAAAGTAAAAGTCTCAAGGAAATAATAAACAACATTGAAGACTCACTAGTTGGTTACCATTTAGAGCATCCTGTCTAGGCCAATTGAGTCTCTCCCTTCACACAAGACTCCTAAACCTCTAGAATCTCACTAACATACACAAAGATGTTACCTTAAAATAAGTTTGAGTAATTTCTAAATGACTCCACAGTTTAAATCCTAAAGCTGAGTTAGCCATGGAGGACAAACTGGGGAACTTTGGAAATGTGTACTGACTACATGATGAAAACACAAATTAAGGGGAAAGATGATTGCTTGTTACTAACTAGTGTTGATAACCCGCTTTCTCCACTGTAGACAACCCTGAACAGAAAATGCCCTACTTCTTGTTTCACTATGATTACTGTTGCCAAAACCATACAGAGGCTGTTACTTCACTCCACTGTCTGAATCAGAGCAATAATTATTTCCCTCTGTTTTTAAACTGTTATGACTCACATGAGTTAGCCAAGTAAACACAGTGGCAGTTGCTTCCTTAAAAATTTAGCTTATCCTGTTAACTAAATAGACCCAATTCAGCACTGAAAGAAATAAAGACCAAGTTTAGGACACAATTTCATCTGAAAGGACCTGACAATAAATAAAACCATGGGCAATAAATCAATGGAAAATACTGCAAATTTACTAAAAAATACAGCAAAATTACACTATAATACAAGCCTTACATTTTGATATTATACCATTAGCAAAATGATACAATTTCGCTTATTTGTTTCCTTAAACATGTTAACACCAAAGCAAACATAATGAGCTATTTTACTTTTATTCTCCTAAAATAAAATTAGATATCAGTGCATGTTTATGACTTTTCAGCCTGGTTTAATAGATGCACTATTGACTACCACTGATCTTGGCCTAGAGGTATCATAAGCAGAAAGAATACTAATGTCCCAGAGGATAGAGAACCAGGCAAACCAGTTTTATTCACACAAGCTGTCTTATTCAGGGCAGAATTAATACTCTGAAACATGGTAGAATTCATTTCTTACTACACTATTAGGAAAAAATTCTGTTCATAGCCTTCTAGACTTCATTTGTAAAAAGATAATGAACAATGAGTAATACTCAATGAAAAAAATCCTTTCTAAGCCATATAGGAAGCTTCTAGGATGTAACAATTTGAATTATATATGATAAACCAGTAACCAAAAGTACTAATTTCTTTCTAAAGAATTTAGTAATCTATGGATACAACTTTAAGGTTTCTTTCCCTCTTCATAGGTAAGAGTTACCTTGGCTCTCAAATATGAACTTAAGAAAGCTCTTTAGTTTAAGTATGCTCTGAAAGTTAAGTAAAGAAATAAAGCAGAAAGCTTGGCCAATGTCATTTATTAATGTGAACTCTGTTAGATTGAAAAGATTATAAATATGATTTCATAGGAAGAAGAACATTTATGCAAAATAGTAGCTAAATGGATTCAGAGTCAGCAGACAGCAATAATATGGGCATTTGTTATCTTTACAGATGGTAAATGTACGCTTACTTTTTCATACTACGTTTTAACACTAAATGGATTGGCGTGAATACTTAGTAAATATACTCCTATCTATTCTTACCTTCAGATTAAATAAGGGCCTAATTTACTGTATGTAAAGAACTGAAAGCACCAGGCTGGAAGTGGTGATGCACACCTGTAATCGTGGCACTTGGAAAGCTGAGATGGAAGGGCTACAGAGCTGAAGCCAGCCTGGCCTGTGGAGTAAGATCCCATTCTTTTTTTAAAGCAAGCATTATTT